ACGTGCTGCCAGCTCTAATTTTTTCCCTTAATTGGGTATTTTTTTACGGGATAAATCCCATAAAAATTGTATGATATTAAAGAAAGGTAAGCTATCTTTTAAATATCTATCTATCTTTTTAATATTTTTGAATACATGGTATTATTAAAATATCTTTTTTTTTAATTGAAGTTGATGTTATTGAAATAACATAAATCACTTTTACAAATTTTATCCGTATAACAATAAGTTAAGAGCGTCGCAAATAAGGTTGGTTAGTTACGTTAGCCAATGTTCCTGCCAATCGGTAAACAAAAAACGGTACCCGGATAATAATTTCTCTGTCTTACTTTTATTTATTAGGATACGGTGAAAACAATTATTAATGATGCACAACATTCTTTCAAACATTTTACTTATTTTGTCATAAAAATAATTTAGTATAGCGTACACTTTCAGACAATTTTCATTTGGTTTATTTCGGTATTATTAAAAATTACTTACGATATCAGTTCTTGTAATAATTCACAATGTTAAAACATAAATTTGATCGAACACGTAATGCACAATCCATTCAATTGCAGATTTCCAATTCTAAAACAATTTTGGGAATTTGGGTGAAAAAAGTTGCAACACTCGATATTCAGTAGGAAGAACTGAAGAACGAATGATCGCGGCTTCTTGATATGAGCGAGGCATGAGGCCGACCAGTGGCAAAAAACTTTCCATCTCGATTTGCGAATGCGTATTTAAAAGTTTATTTCGTTAAATTAGTTATCATAGTTTTTAGTTGAGCGTGTTAGGTTTATTTATTTAGTGTTTATTTTAAGTTTTATTAGACAATAAGTGCATCTCATCATGCCTAATGCGTATGTGTACAGTGCTCGTGAGTATGGGAACATGGTTATGTGTTTAGGAGAAGCACGCGGCAATGCTTCTCTAGCTTTGAGAATTTACCGGGAAAGATTTCCTAATGTGCATCATCCAGGAGACTCTCGAACCATTACTGCTGCGTTTAACGACTGTTGGAGAATCAACCGATCGTTCGGTGGCGGTCGGCGGTGGGCGACCAATAGACATTGCAGCCGAGGAGCGTTATTCTCGATGTGATCCAACGCAACCCCCGTTTGGGCACGAGGACTGCTGCGAAGTTACTGCAGCGGCCAAATGGGCCCTCAGTTTCGCATTGGACGGTGTACAAAGTTTTTGCGAAGAAACAGAATGCGGCCTTACACAATTCATAAAGTGCAAGCTTTGATACCCGAAGACCTACCCCGTCGTCGCACTTTCTGCCGTTGGTTGTTGGATCAACTACAGCGTCTTCAAGGATTTATTCAGCATGTTATCTGGACAGATGAATCTACATTCACAAGGAACGGCATGTGGAATAGACGAAATTCACATTTATGGTCTGAAACCAATCCACGTGCCACTCAAGAGACTGGCCACCAAACCCGATGGTCGGTCAACGTTTGGGCTGGCGTCTTCAACAATGTTATCTTTGGGCCGGTGTTTCTACCACAACGACTTGACGGAGCTGGGTATCTTAGGTTCATAATGAGAGCCTTGATGAAATTCTTGAAGGCATATCATTAGCTGAGCTAAGAAGGGCTTGGTTTCAACACGATGGCGCACCGCCGCATGTGGTACGGCCGGTACGTGAGCGTCTCACTGAACTATTTGGTGACCGTTGGATCGGGCGATTAGGACCGCAAGCCTGGCCACCACGATCTCCTGATTTGACACCTTTGGACTTTTTTTTGTGGGGGGTGTGTTAAAGAAAAAGTGTTCAATAGAGTTTGTGACAGTGCTGAGGAAATGCGGACAAGAATTGTGAGTGCATTCGAGACAATAAGAACGAGTTGTATCGAGGACTCAACTCTCATGCCTCGACTTCACGAAGAGACGCGGCGACGGGCTCGAATTAATGTTGAGATGAATGGGGCACAATTCGAGCCACACTTTGTTAGACCGCGGAGAACATGAACAGGTAAGTACGTTTTTGCATTAAAATAAAAATCATGATGTTAAGTTTAACTGGTTAAATTAATCGTTACTTATAATAAAATTAAAGGTTATTGTAATAAATTACTTTACGTAGTACTTACGATCGTCTCTGTGTGTGTTTGTGTGAGCTCGTTTATGCATGTGTGCAACTATCAAAAGCGCTCGCGCCGCGCGGTCGTTCACCCGTGTATTTGTACGTTTTACATTGCGTGCTTAGAAAATACGATTTCGTTAAATACTAATTATTCAAGTAAAACAAATATTTTTGTAGGACTCCATTAATATGGTATAATAACCATGTTAAAGATTCGGAAGCGTTTTCCTAACACCTTGTATAGCACTAATTAGTCAGTTTCGAATGTGCTGCACGCCGTTGTCGTCGGTAGTACTGCGCTCACAGTATATCGTTGGCTTGTCGGAATATGTAACAAGAAGTTGTTTGCTATCAGGAAACCGTACGCTAATAATAGCGTACGTGTTATGTGGGTAACTATTATTTATATTATATTAATCGCTTACTTATTTATAATTGTATGATTTGGCCTATGGAGTATCGGAAGGCGTCAGTTTTGTTCTATATTTGATGATACGCGTTTCCAGTTTCCGCAACAGTATTGCGGCCGCGGTATGGCCACTCGTTGTTTATGTTTATTCGTTTTTTTCAGACAATGATCATATAAAAAAAATACTTTTAACTTATTGCTACTTTATCCCGTTCGATATTGTCGGTGGAGACTCGTCTATCAAATAGGGTATTCTACTCTGTTTGAAATGCCACTTTAACTGCTTATTTTAATTTGAAAAAGCCATAAACAAATATAATCCGAAAAAAGTTTTCTTGCCTTAATATAAAATCAAAATTTAAAACTTTTTATATCTGCTAAGACGCTGTCCGTTTTAGCCATGACGTCATTTTGATATGTACACAAAACGGATGTACAGAGTAGAAGATCAAAGATGTCAAGAAAACAAGAGCAATGTCATCTAACTATCGATTACGAAATAAAAAGATAGTGATCTGGCAGCTGTCGCCACAGTGACGTCACACGATGGCGGGTTTCGTGATTCGAGTCACGTGACACACAGACAAAAAAATCACGACTTTCAATTTTAAATAAGACCGTATAGAATATACCACGCTACTATTGGTTGTAGTAATATCGTCAAGCAGTTTCCAACCGCAGTCTTTATCACGGGAATGGTGGGTGCGTCAGTTTATATTTTGCTTAAATATCATACGGTGACCCGTATTTGACAAATTATACAAAAAATAACAATAAGACGTAGGTATTACTATAAAACTAAACAAAATTGGTTAAGTACGGAATGTAAGTACATATATAAGTATAATAGTGGTTTCATTAAATCCTGCACGCATTATCATTATAATTTTTCTTAATATTAATGTAGTGAGGGGGGAAGGGAGGGAACAGTGGTAGGCGAGTGTGTCTGTATGTTGTGTATGTGCATTAATGCAAACCGTCCGGTGTGGGTCCGGTGTGTGTACGGTGTGTGTACGGTGTGCATCCAATCGACCACCGATTAGTCGGCGAAATTTTATGACGCGTTTTTGTTTTTAATACATCTAAAATTATGTCGTGCTATTTTCTATTTGGATTTTATTCTTTGCTTTTAACTTTTTGTAACTAATGTTTTAGTCGAAGAGTGTGTTGATTCAATTCAATATTATTAAGCCCCTCAGTTTCGATGCTTTTTTATAGTTTGATCTCAAGTCCAAAATGGCGGAACGGTACATGGTGACTCGCCATTTATATTGAGTTTCACATTTATTATTGTTTTTTTTTTTATTTTATATGTTAATATTTCCTTTGCACTGGGATCTCTTGAAGTTGGATTTACTTGTTTCCAGTATAGGGTCTGTTCTTGCTGCAGTATTTTGGAGATTGTGTATATCCATCCATATTGATCAACAACTTGACTTATTATCTTTGTACAATGGGCGAAAGAAGAGGATCGTTCATAAGTAGAATTTTGCTCGTAACAGTTCAATAATCAGGACGGATATAACCAAAAAGACTATGTAATGATTTGCCTTGTAACAAAATGTCTATGGTAGTTATATAGCTTCTGTAAGCGAAGAGTTTAATCTGTCATTATCTATTATACATTATGGTTAAACTACATCCAAGGAGTTATACATTCTACTGACCCCTCCCCCCCTTCATTTACTCACAAATTTATGTAAGTACATAAACACATTATTACTTTTAGAGAATTTTTATGATTGACCTTTAGTGAATTGCACGCACCGGTGTGTGACGCATCATTTATTTCCGAGTATGTTTGAGGTAATCTTGTGTCCGATAGAGTCAGCGTCGGACGCACGCTTTAGTGAACTGTTCGGTAATAAAAGGAATTTGAGCATTTTCATATGATATCAATTATTGTACAGAAGCACACGCGTGTCGGGTGGACGATGTGGTGCACATTGTAGTAATTAGCGGTAACAATAAATAAATACTAGACGGTGGTATTTTCGTTACTGTAATACGAGTCCACGTGGAGGTTGCGCACGTGTTTATAATCTATAAAAGTAAAGCGCAAGCGGCATTTTCAATTAACACGCCTATGTAATAACTCAATACATACACAAAGGTACAAGAACAAAATACAAGCTTAGCCGTAGATGTGATTTCAGAAATATTTCCAATTTCAACCGCTATGAACTGATCGAGTTTAAAACCGAAGACAACGATAAACATTTCGATAATCCCACTATTCGTGTAGTATTAAAAATCTGCGGTCGCAAATAAAAAATAAATCGGTTAAATATTTCACGCCAGTAGGGGGCGTACGATTACAGACTCTCCACGGTAAAATTCGTCGTTACTAGTGTGAGAACATAATGTTTAACGTGACACAAATGAATGTGCCGCGTTACCGATGATGACATTGTGCATCGTGATCCGAGGGCGGAGTAACAAATGAGCGTGCGTGCGTAGAGTGCGGTGCGTGCGGTGCGTGCGTTGCGTGCGCAGTGTGGCAAGCAACGCCTAAGGCGTGAAGGTGGGCATAGTGTCGAGCTTCTGCCTGGTCGGCTGGTCGGTGTCGTCGGCGAGCAGCAGCGTGTGCGAGTACCCCATGGCGACCTGCGTCACGAGCACGCCCTCCATGCGGGTCACCTCCTTGGGCCGCGCCGACGACTTGGTGATCTCGCCGGTGCCCTGAGGGATAACAACCGCTGTTATGTATTGGGCCTGATTATATATAAACGGCTATACTAGCAGACCGATGGAAGAAATTATTTACCATATATTTGATTCTTTAACGACCGTATTCATCAAATTACTGACGAGTTAAACGTTAGGTCTCGTATTAAAGGATGAGACTAAAATTCACTTTTTATTATACGTTATCGATATTGTAAACTGATGGCAGCTAGTCACCGGTGTCCGGTCACAACTCATCGGACCGTACTATATTCAGACGGACCGAATACGCCACTATGAAATAAAGCAAAACTAGCGCCGCGGTGGTGAAAAATACACCAACAATAGCGGCGCTTTTTTTTAAACTACAAAACTAGCCATGCAACCGCTCAGTCAAAAGCTAGCCGTCTAATTGTTTTGACCGAATAGCTAGGAGATAAAAACGACTGGACCGTTGCATTATAACACACGGGTGACATAGGCTATAATATACACAGACGACGCGACGTAGCGTACATACATACATACAACTAGTATGGTGTATAACAATATAATAATAGTGACCAGTTCTCCGTATGTGGGCGAGACTCCCCACGCGATGAGAGTGTCGTCCGCCGCTATCACTATGGACGTGTTACTGGTGCCCACGCTGCGGATGTTCCAACCTACAGACAGACATACATACGTACATATAAATCGTTGTACAAATTAACACGACACCTGGGGACCTATTAGTCTCTTCAAAAATTAAATTCGGATAATTTCAAATAGTTTTTATAAATTTATCGAAAAATAATTTTCTTGTGTTCGTACATAAGCGTTTTGAAAATAGATGAAGTATCGTTTTCGGAAGAATAAAATAGGCCTATATCAAAACATATTATCATACACAAAACAAATGTTTTATTATCAAAGATATTGACTAGTTACCGGACAAATCCTGCACAGGTTTAGGATACATGTTGGCTTCTCCGGTCCTCTTCGTTTGTCCAAACAGAAACAGTGCACCTGTAACGAGCGACGTTTATTGTTATCACTTACATTCTCTCAAATCACTATGAAACGTTTAATTAGACATCGGTTACACTCTACACTCGGAATACTAAAATATCAAAATATATTTAAAATTAATTAAAACGCAATAAGAATGAATGAAATTGATAGAATTCCACAACTACAAGGAATTATATAAAGTTTAATTTTAATTTTAAGTTTTATACCAATGTACATTAAGTGAGATTCAAGATCTGTTGTAGCTGATGTTGATTAAGTATAACACATACCATATCATATAAGTTAACATGTTTGTTTATGATAAAGTGAGTAGCAAGTACAACAAATTTGTTTAGAATTTATTAAGATAAAGGAAAAAATATATCAATCAATCTGAATGAATTGTAAAATTTTGTCAGTTTGCTTAAAGATATTGAATTTGCTTCGTAGTTAAAGTTATTAAAAACTGTTTCTTTTTGTTTATTTCATTATAATTAAAAAACATTGTTATAAAAAATACTGAAATCTATCTTTCTAAAGTTTAAAACATCAATACTCGTTACGTAGATTGAAACCCTTTGTTAATATATATTTTTCTGACTCGGATTCTATTCGTCTCGTAATACAGCGCTACTTATAAACGTGGTATAAAATGTTATACCGAGAATCAGTGCAGAATACGCAAAATGTATAAACTCGGTGTAACTTGTGCTTAGTTATGCTAACGTTCTAACAAAACATATTCCGCCGTCACGCAACGTCAATGCATCTTTCAAATTACATTTTGACAGATGTTTTTGACGCTTTATTGATATTTACTAAATATTAACTGTATTAGATAATTTTTAATAATATTGAAACGTGTCTTTATTTAAATATGGCGTTTGGAGCAATACAAGAAGTGGAAGAAATTAATAATTTGATCAATCTATCACAAATGTTTAGGGCGAGAAGAAAATCTAAAATATTTAGAACTAGAAATGATCCCTTCCTTCTGTACAATGACGACGAATTTCGTATAAAATATCGTCTTTCCAAAAATCAATAACCACATGTAACGTCAATCAACCAAACGTCGAACTCGGTGACATATGACACTTCAAGTGAATCACAGACAATTTTTCTTTTACGATTTTGTCTATGTAATGCTGCGTTGCCACTACGTGCATAGAACATAAGGGTTGAATATTTACGCCGATGATATACCAAGTTTATAAGTCAAATAATATTCTTCCGTTATTATCAGTATATACCGGGTACATATAACTATTCTTGGTGTAACGTTTGAATAGCATATCGTATAATGAATTGTATATAAGTAAGGCTGATTGATATAGTGGTGGTGAGTGAATGAGTGAGTGAGTGAGTGTGTGAGCGAGTGAGTGAGTGAGTGAGTGAGCGAGTGAGTGAGTGTGCGAGTGTGCGAGTGAGCGGGTGTGCGACTGACGGTGTTCGTTGACCGCCAGACTGTAGGTGGCGCCGCAGTGCACGGAGCGCACGCCGCGCGCCTGGCTGTCGAAGTACTTGATCAGTCGCGGCACGCTCTCGTCGCGCTGCTCCGCGTGCCCGAGACGCCCGAACCCGCCGAAGCCCCAGCTGTACGCGCGCTTCTTGCTGTCTATCGCCACCTGCACACACACACGCACCGCACACACGCGTCACTCATATATTTTTACTTATTTAAAGTAAAATAATAAGCATAATCAAAATATACTGTATAAAAAGTAATGGGACACCGCACATTAGCGTGTGACGTCACTCTACCGAACATAACCGCTAGAACACGGCAGACGCAGTAGCACACGAGTGTTATGAGTCCGTTTTTGATCATCGCCTGCATCTTACAATCGCGTTTTGTTTGTTACTCGATGAAGGGCACTATAAATATTCTATTATTACAATAATATAAAACTCTAATAAAATATTTTTAAATAGGAAAACGAAAAAATCTAAAACGTTCGATAGAATGCATCCACTTATAAAGTTTCAATATATTATGCAGGTTTTAAGCGTAACCAGAAAACAGACCAAAAGAGGTACCTACTAACTACATCACTACATAATATAAAACAGTCGTTTTCTCCGTCCCTATATCTCTATGTATGCTTAAATCTTTAAAACTACGCGGTTTTCAACAACAGATGAAGCATTTCTTGAGAATGGTGTTAGTGTATAGTAAGTTTAGGTTTTATACAAACTGACAATATTAGTTCAATATGTCACGAAAAAATAAAGCCGATCGGAAGCTTTCCTTGAAAATGCTGAAAAAATTTAGTGCGACGGTCTCGAGTTGGGTGCTGTGACGTCACAGGCCTAAAACGCAGTTTCAAATAATCTTTAATCAGGTAATTCATTACCGGATTTTAATATCGTTTTCTGCTTTATCTTAGTTTTGGCCTGTATTTTTATTATTTTGTGTTAAATACTCTTATAATAATAAGTTTCTTAATGTAATAACTGTTGCAATAATTATTTTTATTATATTTTCTTTTTCTAAATTTCTCAATAATTATGCTAAATTTTTTAAATTTCTAAATTTTATTTTCAATTATCATTGAACTTGTTTATTTTTAAGTTTATTTATTATTCATTCATTGTCATATTTACTCATAATACATGTACTATTTAAGTGTTGTGTGCAGCAGTTATAGGAAGGCAAATAAGCAATAAATAAATTAATTATGCCTAACTGTAAGCATGTGATCTTGGTTTGTTTTCTGTTGCTGTACCAAAATAAAATAAAATAAAAATATCGACATCATGAAACTTCTCAATTATACAACTCTACAATCTTTCAAATGAGCAAAATCAGCAATTTTGCGGAATGAGACACACGATGCAGTTGTACAGATTACAGCACTGAATGAGCACATGTTGAACTGACCGTTTTCATATTGCTTAAATAGCTTTTTATGTCATTTTGATGTACAAACTTGATTTTTGTTTTATCAATGGCACACACACTAATTGTCACACATTATCTAAACTTGACTCGATTACAAATCGGCGACATTAACAATATTGCGGAGCGAATATCGTATAATATAACAATATCTGACCGTATGGTTGTTCCCACACGAGAAGTCAACGATGACGACGTCCTTCACCGGGGTCACGTGACCCTCCTTCGACTTCTCGAAGAACAGCGCGATGTGTTTGGGAACAGTCTCGAAGTGATACGAGAGCTTCGTCGACGTCACGAAATACTTGCCGTCCGTGTTGTGACCTGGAATATATATATTGATTATGCTCCATTTAGAAATGACGGACAAATAAACTTGATTCGAGTCAGCGAAAGGATGAACGCGAAAGACTCAAGTAATTGACCAGAACGAGACGGACAGTGACAAATAGTATAGGCATGTCTCACTCTCGCGCACGTCATGCTGCGCGCGCGCGCGACCTAACATTATAACCTAACATTATAAATACCACACAGAACTCTCTCATCTATTATAAGTTAACCAAAGTAATGAAACAATAATTACAGTTATCGTTTTAGGATGGCCGAATGTAACACATTACACCGCATTTTCTTATTTTTTATTCTCTGTACGTACGTATGTACATATCAATTAATTGTATTCACTACTATGTGTATACGTATAATGTAATGTCTCACCTAGTTGTCCGTATTCTGGCAGACCGAACGAGTGCAGTGATCCATTACAATCCAGTATCATGGAGAACTCTGCGCCACAACCGACCTTCACTATCGGTGCACCGCTGCAATATACACACACACATATATATACCGTTGAGAAAAATAAACAAGAAAATAAATGACCTTACTCTTAGGGCTACTATTCGGGTATTCTGTGAGTTAACCGCCCGATTTCTACGTTTCAGGATAATTTTCCCTATCTGAATTCTCAATATGAACTCTTGATAGAACTTGTGCTTTTCTCATAACAATCTGGTGTCCAATTTCGGAGAAATACGAGTACTTAGATAATTTCACAAACATAGATTCACTAATATAGTTTTAAGAATTATCTACACATACTAGACTTGCAACGAATAATATATTCAACCATATGCCGAATACCGAATATTCGGCGAGCTTCCTGGCCTAATAGCCGAATATTAGGCATAGGTATGCGGCCGGCATGTGGCGCCAAAACTTGTTTGTAATGTAGTCACCGCCCTCTCACCCCGGGCCGCCTGTCCACTGCGTGTTTCGACAAGTTTAGTTCGTGCATATCGTAATTACTTTTGGTACAGTTTATAGTTTACTCTGCGTTTTGATTTGTTTGTAAGTGAAATTGTGAAAGATTCGACAAATAAACAATAAAAGAATCACCTATCCAGTTAATTTCCAACTGCGTTGTAAGTGATATGTATGTCGTGGCTTCGACTTGAATAAGTGTTGCCCTTAAAGAAACAATAATTTAGACATATGTTTAGAGAGTTAAGAGAGAATCCTATTTCAACTTCGCAGAGAGACACAGTTCGCCGATGGATACAACGTGATGCTGCAGAGGGGTCAATTGAAGACCGTCCGAGAGCACATTCACCAATTAATTACATTATATATACATTAAATTATAGTCCAATAGTAAATTATATGAGACTATATTAATTGAAATTATATTGTTATTAATATCATATTTGAAAAAATATCTGTGATTAAAATTAATAATGATTTTTTTATATTATTTTATATACATACTTTATATTTAACACGGGAGACGGGTGAGTTTTTTACGCTAGCCTAAGCGCGAGCGATATTAGTCCGTTATATAGTTATATACATTGGTCATTGAAATAATAAACATAATATGGATAAATAATTGAAATAAATTAAATGGAGACAACTTTAATTGTCGGAGTCGATTAATATATGCACACCGACCTGTATCTGATCCTGGTCGGCTTGAGCACCTGCGGCGTGGTGTTGCCGAGGCCGCACTGGCCGCTCTTGTTGTCGCCGCACGCGAACACGGCGCCGGTGTCTACGCACACACGCACACACATACACATACACATACACTACAGTACAGTACAGTACAGCGAGCAACTAACGCGGTGCGCCGGTAGAGGGGGGCGCGCACGCGCACGTACACCGCGTTACTCTTTGGATTTATTTTAATAATTTGTTGACGGCGGATTATCATAACAGGAAGAATTAAATTTCAATTACTATATTTGACGTACATGGTAAAGTTGAATGAAACGATTTATAAAATTTAAACAATTCAAGAGTGTATGAATTAAAGCTGAAGTCAAGGTTACTAAAAATTTTAAAGTGAGGTGGATGAAATCTATTCTCATGACAGAATGATGTTTACAATTGTGTATCTAATATCGTGATAACTTAACAAATAAACAATTAAAAGTGCGACCACGATGTGTGCGTATGCTCTATAAATTAAAAAGCAACTTCGAATTGGATTTACTTTAACGTTTAATTACCTAGAAAGGTACAGAACAGTAGACTAAAGTACTATGTACATCCACAGTGCTACTTATAAACAAGGTTTAGCGTTGGAGTAAATTAACGCTGAGACTGCTCTAAGTATTAGTCAAAATTCATATTATTAAACAGAGACTTAACAAAGGTTAACCTAGTACGAGGTTCTACGGGTGTAATATCTGCTCCTAGAAGGTAGTAGATTTGCTTATTCTCTGTGTAATATGAATATGGACTAACACTTAAATTGCAATTTTAACGTATATTTAGTCCGACACTAAACCTTATTTATAAATAGCACTGCTAGGGTTTATTAAGTTGAGTATTTTATCGAACCTTAATGACGCGTCAGCGCTGCGCTCGACTTCGAGTCGAAGCTGTTTACTGTTTGCCACCGCGCAACTTTATTGTACAAACAAAATCATAAGCGTTTGTTATTTTTTTAACGGTTCTCTTTAATGGTATTTGCGTTTAAAGTATCTTTATAATTACAATGCACGTGTATAACACATTCCATTTTAAGTGGCACAAGATGTAAACAAATATGGCGTCACGACAGTTACTTATTGTTGTGAATTTGATTGATTGAACTATCTAATTTATGTGATTCAGTGACTTTTTCAATAAAACTTGGCTTAAATGCATTCTCAGAGTAGTTTATATTAATATTATAAAGAGGAAAGATTAGATTGTTTGTTTGCATTAAATAGGCTTTGAAACAACTGGAGCGATTTTAAAAATTCTTTCACTTACCTACGGGAAGCTGCATCATATTCGGTGGACAAAGGCTATATTTTATCCAGAAAAATAGCAAATAAAGGGATAAAAATAGGAGTGGAAGTTTATATAGGGAATTAAAACGTTACCATAGTAACCATTGATGTAATATACAATTTGTCGTTGTAATTATATCTGTGACATGATATGAATAAATAAACAATTCCCTAGGGATAACGCGAGCAAGTGTGCCGCTAACGGAAAGCTATAATAAAATGTGTGTTATGTGATATTAGTTTACTAATATATATACTACAAAATAGATTTTTTTTTAATCAATTATTCCAATATGTCTGGGCGAGTTGTTCTTCCAATAATTCATTTGTATGTTGTTCTTATTACTTTTTTTTTTGAACTGTGTAATGTAAATTGTCCTGAGAACAGGTGATAAAAGTAATAATTTAAGTTAACAAAACAGTTTCGGTTGCATTTTATTTATTTAATATTTATTGCCAAATTACAGCAAATGGCGGACTTAACGCCGGTGGCATTCGTTACCAGTCAACCGGTGAGGATGCTATTGCGCTGTTCTATTGAATACTAACCTATTCGGAGCATTTCGTACGTTCAGATGTAATGCATTTTACAGTCGTAAAGTAGTAAGAGAAAAGGATTTGGAAAAAAACATAGAATGATGAGCAGGAGTCTGGAGTACAAGATTAGAACTGGAGTGAACTTGTCTTAGATGAGAGACCAAGACCCAGGTACCTAGATTTCAGATACACAGGTGCACGAGGGTCTTATTACTAAAGTCAGTTACGAAAATCGGAGATGTGGTCGTATAAACGTAGATCTAAAACGAAGCGGATAGTGTTATTAAGAAGACGATCCAACTTATCGAGAAACATTTGATTAACGTTAGAGAAACAAACATCTGCACAAGCAGATGTTCAGAGGGCAGCCCTCGTATTGGACGGGAGAAAAATCGGTATAATGCGCCAAGAGTCCCATGACATAATATGGCTCTCCATAAACAGCACCGGTGAGTTGTTTGTTTACATAATTCACCACTTGAAATGGAACAAGGTATAATTGTTTGTGTGTGTGCGTGTGTGTGTATGGTGGTGTGTCACCTGTGACGAAGAGCGTGTGGTTCCTGCCGACGGCGGCGTGTATGACGTTGTGCCCGACGAGCGCGGGCACCGGCTCGGGCACGTTGCGGGTGGTCGTGTCGCCGAACCCGAGCTGGCCGCAGTTGTTGCGACCTGCGGCACATGCATACAGTACTCTAACAACGACCGACGTATATCGACCACTCGGTCGACTAACCGCCGTAACACATAATCGAATTTTAGTCTGCAAGTGGAATGTATACACAACAAGCGTATGTGACGTGTCCTCACCAAATGTGTAAGCTTCCCCCTCCTCGGTGACGAGCACAGAGTGTCCGGCGCTGCACCCGCTCACGATCAAACGGTACTAGGGAAAACACATACACGGTGTCTATTATTCCACTGTTAGGCTCTTTACTCGTGGCGCGATGCGATGCAATATGATCTCGCACGAATCGCGTGCCCCTACAATATGTAAATATGAAAGCCGCAGTCTTAGATAAGTATACTCGTGATGTGCGATATAGTTTCGCTCGGCCTGAAAGCCTCCTCCGTTTACGCTAATACGACACCCAAGAAACGTATTTGTCAATAATTTTTAATGCAATGATCTTCACAGATATTATTTTACCACAATTACAAGAACGTTACTGAATATTCGTTTGTGAACAAACAGAGTAGACCCTCTACTTTCGACTGACACTCGAATTTCTGTTGAGAAAACGAGTAGCCACTAAAGTAGCGCGATCACACGCGTACGAATACTCGACGTGAATATTATCAATATATTTTTCACCTCATTAATAATTTAACATTTCAAATGTCTTTTTGAATTGCATTATTATTATTACACATATCATCACGTTAAGAACATCCACAACAATTGCCAATTTGATTTTTAATTCATAACAACTGTAGTGTTTAAAAATATCTCATTTTCATTACTATTTAAAATGTTAGACTTTATTATTTCACAATCAAGCTTTAACCCATAGTACATATTGTAATCCGAACTGAGGATGGATTCGATATAGAACAAATCGATTCAAGCCATAAGTGAAAATGCCCATGAGCCAACACTTAATGTTAGTAATAGATTAATATACCAAAAGATAGTACATTATATAATTATATGTGCACTCATCTAATTAGAAATAATTTAAATTCTAAATTAATAATAATGACTTATTTTGCTTGCCACTTGTAAATGGTACATGTACATATCATGGAAGTAAGCCTTTTTTACTGAGTGAATGCTGCTACACGTCTGTGATAAATTAACGTTTATCACAGAGCGGTTCAAATTTATACCATTAGAACTAAACCGTTTTGAAGGAATGTCGTAAGATTTACTAAAGATTGAGTTTCACAGTAACATTAATCTATACATAGTATAAAACAGTCTTTTTCCGCCGTCTGTACGCTGAGATCGTATCGCGTGGTTTTAAAACATGTTTTATATTTGCAAGAACTTCATCAACTTAAGGGCGGTGCGGGAAGGCCGTTTTACGATTCATTATACGTTAAAGAGCGTCAAGTGTCGTCCCCCCTGCCAATTAATGGCATATAAATTTAACACAAAAATTTTAAACAACTCCATATAAAAAAACAATAGTAATCTCTTTTTACTTTTTTTAATGGATAATGGAACCCTTCGTACGCTAGTCCGATTCGGTCGGATTTTTCATGCAATTCGAGTCCAACCGGCATCACAAGACATGGGGGATGATTGGCACGTTAGCATTACATCTTTTCGGTCGGCACTTTGGACATTCTACGTGTCCCGTCATGTTTAAACGGTACAGTACAGCGAACTTACTCGACGATCTGTGAATTTGTGAAAGGTGTACAGGTTGGGATGCGTGCGTTTGGTGGGGTTGTTCTCCCGCTTGGCCACCAGGTCCCAGGAGACCAGGCCGGCGATCATCAACACGCCCGGGGGCTTGTAGAACGACTTCAGCAGCTCCTATGGCGACAAACATGTTCGTTACACATAAACTTGAATAACTAGGTACTTTCAAATCTGACTGGTTGGCATTTATTAGATAATGTAAGTGAATGGTGACCTCTGGCAACTTGACTCCCGGTTCCTCTATGAAGGGCGAGGGCGTCCTGGCCGCCTCCCGCTGCTTGTCAGAGTGGCCGGACTCGTTGCTGTCCTCGTCGGTGTCGGTGAGAGCCCGTGGCTTGCGGATTTTCGTCGGACGCTCGCTGGCGTTCGCGGCGCGTTTCCTTCCATTGTTCGACATCACTGATCTTTAAAATATACATATTTATTATATACCAACTGATTTCAACACGTTTATTATGATTCAGATATAAAAAAAGCATATATTATTAAATTTAAATTCATGGACACATATTCACAACTGTCTGTTTGTACATTACAATTGAGTAATAATACTGCAATAGTGCTAAATTGGAAATTTTAGGTGTAAATTTGTGATCTTTCATATTTAGGCTGTGACTACACCCTCAGTTAGGCATATTATCTAGCATTCACATTAAATATGAGTGACACTTTATTTGGATATTATTTCAAGGCACAGAAGCAATTGAAAAATAGTATAATTATCAATTAATTTATCTATATTTACTACCAACAATTTTTTAAAGACAAAAAGGCATATACAATTTTATTTTTATTGTTTTGTCATCTTAGACAATTTCTCTATCAGAAAAAACACATTTGATAGCTATTTAAAGATGACTCCCCATCAATGACAAGTCCTAAA